GTGTGTGTGTGTGTGTGTGTGTGTGTGTGTGTGTGTGTGTATGTGTGCCCATCTGTTTGGTATTTCTACTCGACTGCCAGGGATTTTTTGGTGCTGAAATTTTGCCACTGTGTACCATGTTCAAGTGCGACCCCAGGAAAGTGATATTAGCTGTCACGCACATCCATGTTTTACTTCGGACGCATGAAAACTTGGCGAGAAAACAGCTAAGTCGGGAAAGAGAAAAGCTAGGAAGCTGAAATTATAAGGGGTGATCCCAACTTACTACGACCAAAAGATTCCAAATTCAGCTTTTTAGTACATTCGAGTCTTAAGTATGGAGGTATGAAAATTTCGGCGTGAAAATTACTAATAAATCAGAAACCAAAAAAACTAGACAGCTAAAATTTTAATTTGTTGAAATTTCAGCTGTCTTGTTCTTGATTAAAAGCTTTCGAATCCAGCTTCCTAATACGTTTGCGCTTCACGTAGATACACGTGAGAACTTTTTACGTGGGAAATTTTGAAGTAAAGCTTGCTAGTTCGGAAACCGGCGAACGTGGAAAGCTGAAATTTTATGGGGATGTTCTTTGTCCAAGGCAGCTTAAAAAACAACGCAGGAAAAACCTTCAGGCCACCTTCCCAACCCAACTTCCGAAATACCATTTCAAGGCAAGCTTGGGCGAAAAGGGATCGTCTTGCATTACTCCTTTTTCGCTCGGTGTGCAAGTTGCAGTGAAGAAAGTGTTATTTCTGTCGAGCAGCATGTGTTTGCACCCCTAATAATTCCCACATAGTGTGTGTGTTTGTATGTGTGTGTGTGTTTGTGTGTGTGCGTACGTGTGTGTGTGTGTGTGTGTGTGTGTGTGTGTGTCCATCTGGTTATTTCAATTCAACAACCAGGCAATCTCTGATGCCTTTGCCTTGTGTCCACTGGCCAAGTGCCACCTCAGGACCGCAGTACCAATCCTCACACACCTACATACGATCAAGTGAAAGTTTTGGCGGAAAAATCGCTAACTCGTGAATCAGAAAAACCAGAAAGCTGAAATTTTGAGGTTATGTCCCCCGCCCACAAAGAACTCAAAGTTTTCAATCCATCCCGCAGGTGAGCATGGTTCCCCGTGCGGCTTCGTAAAATTCTTCGGCGGGAAAATCGCTAAATCGGAAACCAGGAAAGCTGAAAGGTTGAAATTCCAAGGAGGTGTTCCCAGTGCGCGTGCAATTTTAGGATTCCAAATTCAGCTCCCATGTATGCGTGGTTCTCACGTACTGCCTCGCGAAAATTTTTGGCAAGAAAATTGCTAACTTGGGAACCCGAAAAGGCAGAAAGGTGGAATTTTGAGGGGATTTCCCCTGGGCAAGTACCATGCAGCTGTGCAATTAACTTCCTGAACTTCGAGGACCAGCATGCAAAAAATTCTAGCTACTGGGACTCCAAACGATATTACAACAGCACGAAATACTGCAAAAACGCATGTTAGCGCAGGGCCGCCCGGTGCATCTTACCAATGATTAAGGGAGTGGCTTGCCTACACAATTCCCCTCCTTCTTCCCTCGCCCGTCCACGTCAATTTCCCGCAATTTCACATTCCCTGCTCTATTTCTTCTTAATAACAATTCAAACTGCTAAAAAAATCCACCAAATCAAACGTTGGGCAGCGTGCCAGGGTTGGGTACAGTATTTCATCGAACCTGTGATTGCTGTGTTTTTGCTGTACAGCGCGAAGCGTGGACAAGCTGAGCGAGGTTGAGGTATGCACTTCAAGCATCTACACGTTCATCGCTGAGGCACAGGGCCTGGCGCATGTTGGCAGGCAATAATATAAGAGGGTTTTCTTACTTCAAAAAAAAATTTTATGAGTTGGGTCGTACGGCGATTTCTTTTATTTTTTTTTAAAAACAAATATGGGTCATTTTTTTGAGGCAGATAACTCGGCTCCGCACTTTTTTTGGGTTCGGCCTCGTGCTACAAGGGACCTGGTTCCGGGTTTTTTTGCCTAGGCAAATTTCTAGGTATCACGTTTTTCCTCAAGTAACCTCAAATTTTTTTCACGTTGAATCTAAAAATCTTGCATAGGTCCCTTTCCCCCCAGATCCACCTCATAAAATCACACATAAGCCCCTTCCCCCCTAGATCCACCTCATAAAAAATTTTTTTCCCCGCTCATCTAAGTAAGATCTCAGTGCCCTTGCAGTCATTAATCCTGTATCAAACATGGGCCCCTCCCTTCAATCCCAAATCCCCTTCCCCCTTCCAATCGTCGAAGTAAAATCTCAGGTCCTTTATAGTCAATAACCCTCTTCTTTTGTTATAATTAACCACCATTCCGGCCCATTGTTTCGCTTTTCCCTCACCTCCGGCCTTCACCCCAGTCACTAAAAAATCGCCTCGAAAGCGAACCACTAAAAAATCGCCTCAGTTTTTTATTTTTTGCTCAAATTTTGCTCGAATCGCAGAGATTTGACAGCTAAAGCTGTTTTTTTATACTAAAAATAATTATGACATTACAGGTTGATGCATGTCAATCGGGTCAAGGTATGACTATGGCAGCTGATGTGAAGCCAAGTACAAGTAACGCTGCAAACACCTTACAAAGTGCCATCGATCGACGACCACTTTCCAGCAAAGGTCAGGTTTTTTTCTTTCAGTTTTTTTTTCAGGAATCAGTGAAGCGCATAATGGAATGGTATCCACGCACTGGAGGCCACCAACGAGTTGGGGGGATCCCAACAGTTTTTTTACTGTAGAAAGTTATTTTACTTAAGTAGCAGTTATTTTGCTGTAGAAAAGTCTACTTGGAACCCCCCTGTAACTTCCCTCCCCTACCCCCGCTTCTCCGCTCAGGAGCCTTCGAGGGAGGGGGGTGTAGTGATGAAGGAAGAAGACGAAGCAAAAAATCGCCTCCCCCCGTCCCAGTAGGAGATCACCCTGGATCCGCCTATGATTTCTGGGGTCTTGGCACATCTAAGCGCTTTCCAAACGCACATTTTCGTCCTATTCTAGTAGTAGTTGCCTCGGATTTTTGGGAATAAGAATGCGCCATTTCAGTGCCCCCATAACTATGTGTAAAAGGGAGTCCAGGAGAGCGGGAGTTTTATGCAGCGGCGGCAAAAACAAACTGAGATGGTGTTGTTTTGCAGATGGTAACAATGTTTCGAAGTCATCATGCAAACGCAAGCCAGCCCTACCAAGAAAGCGACCGAGCACCATGCACGACGTAAGCCTCTGAGTCATCATTATTTTGCGTCTCGGCTAATTCAAACATTTCATTTGTGCGTATTTCAAAAGAGAATCATGTTCAATTCATACATATATGTATGTATTTTGTGTGTATGTGTGTGTTTGTGTGTGTGTGTGTGTGTATGTGTGTACATATAGGTGAATGACTATTTTTAATGTGCATATGTATATATGTATATGTATGTACTTATGTCTGTATATGTATGTATGTATGTGTGTATGTATGTATGTATGTAATGTATGTACGTATGTATGTATGCTATGAATTGTATGTATGTATTATGTATGTATGTATGTATGTATGTATGTATGTATGTATGTATGTATGTAATGTATGTATGTATGTTTGTATGCATGTATGCATGCACGGTTATATGGACGTATATGTAAAATGTTACTTCACTGTCCTAAGTTTTAAATTGCATTTTCAGCCTGTTTTGATTAGCGCTGAAACTGGTGAAGCTGTTGATGATGTTGCCGTGGAGTCAAGCTATTCACTGGAAAACAGTAGCCTAGACAGGACTTGTACACTTCACACAGGTAAAATTTGTTTTTCATGCTTGTTTGTATTTTTGATGGGAAAAAAACGAACAAGTAAATAGTAAACTTACTCGACTCCAAAACTGTGAATGCCAAAAAGCTAAAATTTCGGGAAAATAATCTCTAGCCATGTATTCTCCTCAGAAAAATGAGGTCAGGTTTCACGAATTTATCATATTCTTGCATTACCCTCCTTCCGCTTTTCATGATTTTATTTCGACTTAAACTTCCAACCCTTTTTACAACACGGTATCTTATTGTAAGGTAAAAAAAGGATTAGGTAAAAAAATTCTACTTTGTTGCATTCGTTTACTGTGAGTTTGCAAAAGCTTCCCGCAACGGAAGCCAGCCCATGTACACGTTGGATTCTTTGTTGGTAAGAAATATATACGACTTAATAGATCGAAACATTTCTTACCATTAAATTAGTTCTTATAATTTGCAAATTTTGTAATTCTCATCTACTGCATTTTTCAATCTTCGCCTTCTTTTATCCGCTGTTAATGCACCCTATTTTTTGTCCTATTATACCAGTATTTTTTAAGTAGAAGCACAATATAAACATTTTTAATGAAAATCGTATTTTTAGTGGGCAGCGCTATAAAAGGGACGACAGTTGGAACGATGCCTGCTGACTCTTCCAATTTTGCCGTCGACTTACATCGTCTTGAAACAGTGATGGATGGATGCGATATGTGTGGTACACAAAATGTTATTAATAAGTTAGTATTGCGCTTTGTTAAGGCCT